CTCTTTTACTAATGTATTCATTCAAAGAATATTTACTGAGTACCTACTATGTGTGACATCCTCTGTGTCAGGCACCGAAGATGAGAAAACATAAGGACATCATGTTACTGTCTCCAAGTAGCTCAGTGTTGGGTGAGGTAAGACATGCTGTAGATTCTCGGGCACATTTGGACACATCTTGTGGTACTCATAATGATGGGACTAGGTAAACAACATCCTATCCAGAAATGATTTTTAGGGATCGAAATCAGAAAAACCTTGGTTTTTTTCCCCCCTCATTTGAAGACACTGGCTAACTGCAAAAAATCTGCATTTTAATAATATTTTGAATGGGTTGATTAAATAGGAACAGATGGTTAAAGTTTGTCATTTTAGGAAAAATAATGAAATATTGCACTGCTTAATCTGTTTCTCTTTCATACTCTTCCCCATTCCCTCCCCACTGCATAGATACTCATTGCAAAAAAAAAAAAAAAAAACCTTAAAGCAAAATGCTAATAATGTTTCTTTTTCTTTTTGTCATTTAGGTGTCCTTACCTAAAAGGACCCTAACTTGGGCAGTTATCTCTGCGTGGCTGGGTTAGCCTTTTGTTCCTGGGCTGCCTCAGAGGAAGCTTCCTACAAAGGTGTCAGTTTGGGGCATTTAAAAAGTGGTGGGAAAGCGACACTACCTTAGGGGTCTCTTTCCCTAAAGAATACTAGCTCTGCAGGTGTTTTACCAGCCAGAGGAGGCTCCCACCCTGAGGGAGCCAGCAGAGTAGACGCTAACTGTGTAAGTCTCATCCATTTGCTTCTGGGGCTTTGTGTAGAAGCTCTGACTACAGTGCCTCCTGGTCAAGGGAAGGCAGGGTGCCACTTCTGTCACCGGCATTCTGTTTGGATCTGCTTCTACGCCAAATGCATTTCTCTGAAGTTTTACCATTCTGTTTAGACAGAGCATCGTATGAGATCAACTGCTGGGAGAGAAAAGGGAGTGCTGCTTTGTCACTGCTCCCAGAGACTCCTGGGAGGAGAATGAGCATCGGGTGCCACATGCCCACAGCTTGCCGGCTTCAGTAGCGAGAGCCTCCAGAATGCTCTTGGATAAACATCATCTTTGTGGCCACACATTGTTTTATGAGCTGAGTCATCAGCCTGGCTGGCTCCTTAAATGCTGCTGTCTGAATCTTCAGGCAGAAGAAAACAGGAAGGCTTGAAGTGCAATCTGACAGAACTTTATAAAGGGCAGTCTCATTTGCCAGAGGTGATGAGGGATTTGCCTTTATGGAGTTTGCTCATGATAAAAGGATTATTGATCAACTTTCATTTTATTTGAGAGGAAATAGGATGCTTTTCTGTATTTTATACATTATTTACAAAATCTGTTTAATTGTAGCTACTTTAAAAAATATTTATTTGTTTATTATGTACACAATATTCTGTCTGTGTATATGCCTACAGGCCAGAAGAAGGCACCAGACCCCATTATAGATGGTTGTGAGCCACCATGTGGTTGCTGGGAATTGAACTCAGGACCTCTGGAATAGCAGGCAATGCTCTTAAGTGCTGAGCCATCTCTCCAGCCCCATTATAGCTACTTTTAATAGCCACTAGTATTAAGGGATTTCTTGTTGAAAACTTGATTCCTTCCTCAGTCATCAAGTTGCAATTTATCATTTAAGGTAATGAGGTAAAACTAAAAGTAACGGGGACACAATAAGACTGTTTGCAGATTTCTTTGTTTCTCAAATTGTTCTACTATGTTTATCTTTTATATAGCTGTTCAGTAAGATGTCTCTTAATTAAAACTGATGCTCTTATAATGGGGAGATTTATTCTGATTAACATGAGCTTCTGATTGGGAAATCTGTAATTTGCTAAAGTCTCCAAGTTCTCTTTTTCAGCCTAATTTTGTTATGGTGTCAGTAGACATATAGGTAGAACATTCACAAGAGTAGCTGTGTTAGGTGTCAGGGACTATGGTAGCCTCTGTGTGGGGCTAAAATAATGAAATCCTTGTCACCGAAGAATAAAATGGATGGCTGTTGATGTGCCAAGTACACACACTACATCTCTTAGAGTAAAGTGGAGGATTAAGGGCTATTGGGAAGAAATGCCAATGACAGAGAAAAACTTCCTACATGGAGGGCAGCTGGGAGTCTTCCTGGAGAAAGTGGTCCCAAGGCAATCTTTGGAGGGTGAGGATGACCCACGAGTTTCAAGTGAAAGAGGATGTGGCCTGGGGGATATTGTTCACAAAAGCCCCATCAGGTCAAGAAATGGCAGATGCCAGTGTTTGGAATTAGGAGAATTCTAAGAGAACAGTTTTTAGGTGGTAAGCTTAGAAATCAGATCTTGGGCTGAGAATCGAATAAGTTACACCGATATAAAAGGACCTGGAGGGAGGCAGAGACAGGCGGATCTCTGTGAGTTCGAGACCAGCCTGGTCTACAGAGCTAGTTCCAGGACAGGCTCCAAAGCCACAGAGAAACCCTGTCTTGAAAAACCAAAAAAAAAAAAAAAANAAAAAAAAAAAAAAAAAAAAAAAAAAAAAAAAAAAAAAAAAAAAAAAAAAAAAAGACCTGGAGTAAACAGCTCTCTCCTGAAGTTAGGTGAGAGAGCAGGAAGAATGGGTGGTTGGGGAGCGGTGAGGCTACAGACAAGTTGGCCTTCCTGGGGTGGTAGAAGCCTGTGCAGCAAGCCGGGTGAAAATAGAAGACAGGCTTCTGAAGAAAGAGCAAGAGGCTGGGTCCTGGCAGGAACACAAGAAAGCTGGATAAAGAGGAAGGGGAGGTCAGTGAGGATTCTGAATTTCAGATGCAAGCTGGAAATCAGCTTACGGCTGGGAGGGTTGTATGTAGGGGGTTGTCAAGTGGACTGAGAGCCCAAGGAGGGGAAGGCTCGGACCAGATGCTATGGGGACAGAAGGGCAGGTGCGTGGTCCTGCTGAGGTCTGATTCTCCACAATGTATGCTGTGTCCTTTGCTTTATTTCAAGAAAGCAATCTAAATTTAGTTCAAACAGCAAGACTAGAGGAGTCCAGGACTTAACCAAATGTCCTTTTCCTCCCCCCTTTCCTTCCCTTTCACCAGTTGGAGTTAACAATCTCCAATCCCAGCGCTGAGCTCTGCAGTAGTAGAGTGATTGCCTTTGTTTGGAAATGGGAGTAACCTTGGGGAAACTGGACCTTAGGCTCTGCAGCTGTCACTACGTTCATCTGTCGAGGGGATAGAAGTAGAGGATGAAATAAGAGCTTCGTGGCTATTCAGACGACCTGTGCTGCTTGGACCCACTGTTTGTTCCATTCTATGAATGTGACTCCATTCTGGGGTATGCCCTCCATCACTGACGTTGTCCTGAGGTCTATATTCCTGGAAGAGCTAGCCAAATAGATAAAGGCATCTCTGTTATTCTGCTTTTGGTTCCTAATCAACCTTCTACTCTCAACGTGTATCCAGCTATTGAGAAATTCAATTGTTCACAGAACAGACATTTTCTGGGCAGGAGTGGCAGGCAGCTTTCATTGGTAGAGGGAAGAGCCCATAGATGAGGTAGTAGTGGCAATAATCCTGGTGATAGCGAGGACACTTTGAAGAAGTACTCAACAAGGTCTGGCCATTATTAAGATACTTACTTTTAAATTTAAAAAAGATGAAGAACAAGGTCTCTGTATGTAGCCCAGGCTAGTCGCAAACAGGATTCGCCTGCCTTCCCTTTCAGAGTGCGGTACTCAGAGGTGAGTGCCACCATGCCAGTAGTACCAGAGTATTCTTATTCTAGTCTTGCTCCTCAGTTAATGACCAAGCACTCAATGTCGAGTTGGGTGGGGGTTGAGAGGCCAGAAAGATGATTTTAGCCTAAAGCTTGCCTACAAGCTGGTAAGCTGACAGTCCTAGGGCAGAAAGGTTAGGGTTGTTAGATAAAAATGAATACCGAAATCCCAGACAAAAGATGTAAGGAGGAGGCTGGAGAAATAGCTTTGGTTCCAAAGGACATTATTTTTACACACACACACACACACACACACACCAAAATAAAATCTTAAAACAAAAGAAAGGAAAGCTGTCATTGTGCTGACTGCAGTACTAATTTAGGGTTCCTGGAAGAGAGTTACTGAGATGGGTTTTGAAGAGCAGGGCATCCAAGGGCAATAGCGAGGCATGCCACCCAGGTTTTGAACTTACAGCGCTGGTGACAAGCTGCGACTTGGCTATATGCTGGGTCTAAATGTAGAGTCCCGAGCAGTTCCTGGTCTCTGCTCAGCAGCTGACAGTAGGGGGTCATAAGGTAATGTTGGTAGCCACCAAAGTGAAGGGATTCTTAGGAGGAGGAGGAAGAAAGCTCTGGGAGGGTGCTGGAACTCAGTCAGGATGGCAGGAGGCAGAGACCTATGCCCCGCAGAGGCATGGGTCTGGTGTACACAACTAAACAGAGTTCTGAGAGAAAAGGCTTCTTTACTAGAAAGGCTGCTAAGCTTGTTCAGGCCCCACACACTCACCACAGCAGCCAACTCAACAAAAGAACTCAGGAGATGTTGGCGGCCTTGGCCTAGATACAGCACCCTAGGAGTCCAGGAACCCGTGCACTTCACTGGGTTCCTTTGAGACGAGCCCATTCTGCCAGCCCCCTCGGGGTGACCGAAGAGAATCTCTCAGGGGATGTGGCCGTGACAGCACTGTGACGACGAGATGAGTTTAATAGCGATGCTCCCCCCTCCCCTTTACTGGTTCTCCTCTGACCAGAGGGCGAGCGGCCATCTCGGTACGGCTGGCCGGAGGCACTGTGGCCTTCCACACACACACACACACACACACGACCGCGACCCCCTTCGATGCCAGCTGCAGCCCAAGGCTCTGGGTGGGCGGAGGGACCTGGCCTCCCGGACCGGGCTGTCCAATAGCCTCTCGCAGATTTCCCTCCGCTGGCCCGCAGCGGCATCTCGTGGATTCGCGCGCGGGCTCGGGCGGCGCGAGCCCGGGTCCTGCGAGCCCCCGCGCGCCAGGGAGCGGCGCATGCGCGGGCATCCTGCGAGCCCGCTGAGGCAAGCCGAGCCGCGGCGGCGCCGGGAAGCCAGCGACGGATCTGCGAGGAGCCGAACGGCGGCGCGGGGACGGTGGCGACGGACAGGTCGTGAGCCCTCGCCCGCGTCGCCCGCCCGGGGCTGTTGGGCCGTCCGCCGAGTCCCGCTGTCAGGACGTGGCGTCCGGCGGTGGCGGTGGCATCCCGGACGGCCTGCGAGGGATGCGCCGCCTACTGCCCCGCGCCGCCTGACCGCCCCCGCCTTGCCCCGCGGTGCGCCACAGCCGGGCCCGCGGCCGTCCCTGCGGTCGTCCCCTCCGCGCTGTCCCCCAGCCGCTGCGCCTGCGGAGCTGCGCCCGGCCCGGCCATGTGGACCCCCACGGAGGAGGAGAAATACGGCGTAGGTAGGTGAGGCTCGGGCCTGACAGAGGCGGGGATGGAGGGGCACGTGCCCGACTTCCCGGCCCCGCCTCGATGGCTGCCCTGGCTCCTCCGCCCCTGCCCGCAGACTGTGCGGCCTCGGCGCGGCGCGGGGCGGGTGCGCTCCAGGCGCGGGGCTGGGCCCGGGGCTCTGGGTGCGGGAGAGCGGCAGGGGGCGCTGGCGGGGCGGCCTCAGCAGGTGCGGCCAGCGGGAGGGGCCGCAAGGCCGGGGCAGTTGCGGGAGGTTTGTGGTGTGGGGCGCAGGACAATTTCCCCAAGAAGATGCATTCTGAGGACCTGCTTTTTCCAGCAGTCAGAACCTCGATTTTAATGAGTTTCTGCACAAAAGTTAATGAGCCCGATGGCGGTTTATTTTCCAATTGGAATCTTACAAAAAAGGATGAATTCGTTGACATCATTTTCTCAATTCAAATGCTGCAGCTATTTGTTTTGCTATGAGTATTAGAAATAGTGACCTTACTACCGTGGGAGGTGTTTTGGGCATACATCACTGTTAAAGTTTAGTGTATTTTGTTGACATGGTTTTGTTTAAAAAAACCTATTTCAAATGAGAATGTTATTCCTTAGTTTCCTTTAAAGTGTTATGTGAAACTCCAGAGGCTATCGATTTCTTTTAACATTTCAGCTCTTTAAAAACAATATTTAGTTTTTTAAGGGACCGAGTGTTTTACAATGTTAGTATTTCGTAGTCATTGCATGAGAAGAGTGTTCAGCACGCTACATTATTGTAAACTGGATTTGCAATTTGGATTTACTTAGAAATATTTAAAATGTTGAGTGTGCAGTGTTCTTTCTTTCTTAGCATGTAATGGAAAATTTTAGAAAACTTAATAGGAAATTGTTGCTTAAGGGTAAGTTATTATTTCCACTAGTGCAACAATTCTATCAGTATTTCGTTCATAATTCATTACAAAGTAACTCTGCAGTGGTAACAATTGTTTTGGAATACCATCAGGCAAAGTATGTCAAAATAGGTTTTATATCAGAGAAGCCGTCTATCTTGTTCTGAAAAGTAACATTCCAAAGTTTGTAATTAGCTATGTTACAGTGGAACTGGTAAAAAAGACTCCTGGTCCTCGAGTCTGTTGAAAAAGAATTGGGAAATGATGCACATGCTGGATTCACCCCTAGAGACTCTTTTACCTTTTCTATTTAAAGCATTCCTTGAATACTAAGTTGATACTGTGAAATGAGGGGCTGATGATTTTTCTTGTTCATAACTTGCTACCAGAATTTCTTAATTAGAATAACAAGAAATGGGTGTTAAAGTGGTCGGCTGTCCAGTGGTACTTGACTAATTTCTTTCCTTTGGGGAGGAACTCCCAAGTGGTGCAGATAGTGGAGTTCAGAGTGCTGGCTTCTTTTTACTGGTGCTTTGGGCAGGTTACTCAGATCATTTTCTTAATGTATAAATTGAGGGCTCATGTTTACATATCTTAAAGGGATGTGAAAAGCAAACAAGTACACTTGCTAAGTAGTTAGTACATGTTATTTCCCCCATTAGTACTTAGTGATAGTAAATACTAGGGGTGGTGGTTCGGAGACTGGCAATTCAAGCCAACCAGGAAAGGTGTATGTGACTCTTAAGAGTACTAAGATTTGATGTGTGATTTACCAAGACGAAAGATGAAAGGAGAGCCTTGGATTCTTCGAACGTGTGCTTAGCTTTAGAAAAATTGCTATGCCCTGTAGAGGGGCACAATATTGGGCACAGGGCTGTTGTCATTCTGAAGACAGTTGCGTTGCAGCTGTGGTCTGGTATAATTATGGTGCTTTTTCTTCTTAAAAAAAAAAAAGGTAACTACTTGATATTTCTGTCACTGTTTTTTCAATGGTCTAAAAGGTTTTTTTTTTATTGTTTAAAACTCAGGAGATTTACTCCCCTCCCCATGAACATATTAGGGACTGCACTTTTAGGCATTTTCTTAAAATCTAATTCAGTCTGTAAGGTATCTTCAATATTGTGCTTATTAATGAGGAAAAATGTCAATTCAAATGACTTATTTATCCCCTTGTTTAATTGCTTTAAGGACTAGCTTGAAAGTAACTATTACCATTGTTTAAGAAAAATATTTTGAGATCAACTTTGATCCTTTTTAAAACATTTATTTTCATTTGTGTGGGGATTGGGTGTACCCATGCTATGACATGCACGAGGAGGTCGTAGAACATTTTGGGGAGTCTGTTTTTTTTTTTTCTCTACTCTGGATTTTGGGGATTGAACTCAGGTCATCTGACTTAGTGGCAGGTGCCTTAGCCCACTGAGCCATCTCATTGCTCCCAGATTTGAATATCTGACTAAGCTGGAGTACAGATTTCTGTTTCTGTTCAGCAATTTGTAATCCTACAGCAAGAAAGAAAACACAGTTTTCATCCAATTTGGAGACTTTTGAGAAAGAGCTCCTGATATCGATAGGGAAATGAGCCCCTGTTGCAAAATCTTCCCTTCTCCACCTTTATGTAGTTGTTCCTTTGTGTTTTCACAGTTTTAAGGCTTTGAAATCTAGTAGTAATTAATGGTTTCTTTCAAGACAGTCTCTCACTATGTAGCCCCTTGGCTGCCCTAGTACTCAGAGATCCCCTTGCCTCAGTCTCCTGAGTCATGTGCCACCAAGTTTGGTCTGTAATTAACTTCTTACTACCTTCTTATCTTTATTTTTACAGTAGAGGATCTCTGTACAGGTTGCAACATTTCTTTTATTCTTTTTTACTTAAGACTCAGGTACCCAAGCTCCGCTCCCCTCCCCCTTTTTCTTTTGATTTTTCGAGACAGGGTTTCTCCGTAGCTTTTGGTTCCTGTCCTGGAACTAGCTCTTGTAGACCAGGCTGGCCTTGAACTCACAGAGATCCGCCTGCCTCTGCCTCACAAGTGCTGGGATTAAAGGCGTGCGCCACCACCACCCGGCTCCAAGCTCCCTTTTTGTTATATTCTGTGATTGGCTTGGGAGGCTGGGGAGGGCACTGACCTTTTGTGAAGATAAATGTGTCCATCAGTTTGCTGAGATACCAAGTTGTGTTGCCTTACGTAGATTCCTAGAGTAGTTTATTTTATTTTATTTTGTTTTTTCGAGATAGGGTTTCTCTGTGGCTTTGGAGCCTGTCCTGGAACTAGCTCTGTAGACCAGGCTGGTCTCGAACTCACAGAGATCCGCCTGTCTCTGCCTCCCGATTAAAGGCGTGCGCCACCATAGCCCGGCCTCCTAGAGTAGTCTTAATAGGACCTCTATTACACAAATGAAGAAAAGAATCTCAGAGGTCGCTTTTCTTTCCTTCCTTTCTTTCTTTGGTCATTTAACAGTTGTATAGTCCCTTTAATAATAATTATTATTATTGCAATGGGAGGTATTTTATGACATACTTGATTGTTTTTGCTCATCTTTAATATTTTTAGGGGATTTTTTCATTTCTTTCTTTTGTGTTTTTGCAGCAGGTTTCACTCTATAATTCAGGCTAGCCTGTAACCATAATTGCTTGGAAAATTCTGTATGTTTTGTTTCTTAGGTTGTCTTTCCAAGGAACTTCCTGCTCTACAGTGCAGTAGATAAGAAAAAACTTGTCCTTCTTTTTACAGATTATACTCAAACTAACAAACAGGGAAACCAAAACTAAAAACAGCACTTTTCTCACCCTTTAGTAACAAAAACAGGAAATATCCACAGCAAATAAAAATGTAATTAAATTCATTCAGTAGATAAACAGCAAAGGTGTGAATGTGTATGTATTGTTTTGATGTCCTAGATGTATATGCTGGTTAGTTTTTGTCAACTTGGAGAAAACCTCTGGGAAGGGTGGTGGTGCCACCCTTGGTCAGGTGATCCTGGGTCATATCAGAAAACAGGTTGGGTAAGCCACAGAGGTGAAGCCTATAAGCAACATTTCTCTGTGGTCTCAGTTTCCATTTCTGTCCTGGCTTCCTCTGGTGAGGGACTATAACATGTAAACCAAATTAAACCATTTCTTTCCTAAATTGCTTTTGCTCATGGTCTTTATCATAGCAATAGAAAATGTAACTAAGAGAATGTGGAAACTGCCTCAAAAAGCCATCTTGTTTATTCCACTGCTGTCATTATATTAAAAAACAAGCAAACAAAACTGCATGTGTATTTTAGGAAGGTACTTTGCCAGAAAGCTACATCCCTAGCTCCATGGTAAACTTTTTAATAATTCAGAGTATTGATTCTTATTTTTTGCTATTTTTCAATTCTTATACCATGAAATATTTCCCTCATTACCCTCCAGAATATTTAACATTTTTAACAATAGTTTTGCAATGCTATATTTATTTTTTCCTAATTAAAAAAATCTTTTTTTTTTTTTTTTTTTTTTTTTGTTTTTCGAGACAGGGTTTCTCTGTGGCTTTGGAGCCTGTCCTGGAACTAGCTCTGTAGACCAGGTTGGTNTTTTGTTTTTCGAGACAGGGTTTCTCTGTGGCTTTGGAGCCTGTCCTGGAACTAGCTCTGTAGACCAGGTTGGTCTCGAACTCGCAGAGATCCGCCTGCCTCTGCCTCCCGAGTGCTGGGATTAAAGGCGTGCGCCACCATCGCCCGCCTTAAAAAAAAGTCTTTTTTGCTTTACTTTTCTAAGCCTTAGTTGTTTTCTCAAGACCAGAGTATGCGTATAGAGTCTTTTATTTTTATTTAAATAAATCACTAAGTTTCATGAAAATTTAACTTCTATAGGTCTGTAGTAGATCCTGGTGTGGCTTATATTTCCTTGAATTCTAGAGACTTGAGGATCAGTAGTTTGAGGAGAGAGAAAGAGGGAGGCAGGGGGAAGGAGGAGAGATGGAGAAAGAAAGGATGAGAATGAAGGAAAGAAAAAAAGAACTGTAGTACAGAGGTGGAGCAGGAACTGTATGGGAAAGAACCCTTGTCCACAGCATTTGAGGAAATTCACTGGTCATTAGACTAGCTTGAAAACATGGTGGCTTTAGTTATTTTATGGCTCATTTGTCCTAGGAAGG